TTATATATAAATGTTAAAAATACATGTCCTGATTCTAAATATTTAGCTACGTTTCTAAACATTTAGATTACATTCTAAATATTTAGCTTTGATCCTATATATTTAGCTAAGATTGTAAATATTTATAATCAAAGCTAAATATATAGATTATAAACTAAATATTTAGCTAAGACTCTAAATAATTAGCTAAGACTCTAAACTTTAGCTAAGACTCTAAATATTTAGCAAAGTCTGGACACGCCCCCAAGACGGCCACCCATGAGGGGGGTTAAGATTTCAGGGGTCCAGCCGCATGGAGCTCCTCAAAAACAGGGTCCATCCTAAATCAAAGCAATGATCAGAACATTTTATCTGAAACCTGAACACTCAACAGAACTTCTTAAAGCAACAGAAACATGTTTTAGTGATTGATGCTTCAGTAAAGCGTGTTTCTAAATGTAACCCCTGTCTCTTTAAACGCTAGGATCGTTCACTGGGCCCTACAGGGTCCTGACGCCCCAGCTTATATGAGATATTTGAGTCTGATCCAGATTTTTAAGAATAGATGTAACCTTACGGAAAACCGACCTTTGTGTAGCGGTTGAGGTTCTCAAAGGGCCGCCTTCCTCACCAGCTCAATGCACCTCTTGGTTCTCTGCTGCAGGCAGCGCTGAGTCACCGCAAGCTGTAAAGGACAAACTTCACGGTGATGCATTTGGATTTGTTTTGGATAAATAAATCAGTCAGGCTCCAAACCCCGGCCCACCCTACAGGATCAATATCTCCCTGATTCTCACATTTGTCTTACTTTTATCTTTTGCATCAGGACCTTAAAAGAAGTCCAACACGTTACTGTTTCATTAAACGACAGCTGGTCATTTAGCATGTTATGATTAACTGGTAATAACATGTTTAAGGCAAGTAGACGCGTCAGAACATCACAACAACATCCTCAGGAGTCAGCATGACAACAAATACTCTATTTCCCAAAATGCCTTGTGGGAGGAATTTGGTTTATTCATGATATCCTAAGGGGGCTCCAGTGGCTACTTGCAACTAGCAGCTTAATACTTAATATAAATTCATTTTAAAAAGCAAATTGTGTTTGAAGCACCGCAGAGATATGTGAGCAGTGTCTGACACACCCTCCTCCCCCTCCTCCTCATCATCATCATCATCTTATCTTCTGTCTCCTGCAGGTACAGCCGATGAGGACACGGTTTGTCGAGTTTGTCCCAACGGCACGTTCTCCGACACCGTCTCTTCTCTCAAGAACTGCACGGCGCACAAGAGCTGCAGCGCCCCGGGGCTGCACGAGGTGCTGAGGGGCTGCACGTGGCACGACAGCGTGTGCATGACCTGCGACCAGTCGGCATCGAAAGGTAAGATCACAGATTGTTACAAGTGGGAAGAGAGGGGAGGGGCACGGTGCTGGTTTGGGTTTTTATGTTGACTAAAACTTCATTGAATTAAACAAGTTTCCAAAGAAGCTTGCTGGGACTTCTACTTTACATCAAATGCATCACATTAAACTCTGATAACTGATCAAGACCTAGGGTAAAGAAGTCTGCTTCACAGTATGAGGCTCAGTGTGGACAAACATTTAGAGCTCCTTTAAAAACAGCAAGGTGGTGAAAACGTCCAGAGATTGTTTTGTCATGACATCAACCTGCACAGATCAAAAAACGTCTTTATCTCCTGCAGACGGAGCGGACTACCTCAAAGAAATCATCCCGTCTTTCTTCATCCACCAGAAAATGATGGTCAGGAGGCTGCGCCACATCTTGCGCAAGCTCCCGTTTGAGGATGGCAGAAAACACGAAGGAGTCTCCGGAATGTACACGTCAGAACTCCACCAGCGGATTAATGCTTGGGTCGCCACTGCCACGGCGCAGCACATCCGGCAGCTTCCTGCGATCCTGACCAAAACAGGAGCGATCAGCGCCGGAGAGCGTCTGCAGCACAAGCTGCACAGGATCGACTCTCATGTGGCCGAGCTGTGCGGTTTGAATGGCGGGGCGGACGCAGCCCGGGGGTCAGAGTAGAAAACAGCGGTGTATCGTCCCCTTTTTACGTCTCCAGTCTCGACCCCATGTGCGCTCCTGTTTGTTCAGAAAGTAATTTATGTTGGTGTGTGGCTTCGGGTGTGCGCTGACGTCTTTTATTTTTTTATATTTTATTTATTGAGCTTGTTGTGTTTTTGTACATAAAGAAGGTTTTTGATCACGTGCAGCTTCTTCAATAAAGATCACAAATCTGAGCCCTGCATTCTGTTGTTTGTCCATCTCATTTAAACACTCTTACATTATACGTTATTATACATTCATTATGTAGACACAGAAGACATGAGAGAGACACTGACACAGATCATGTCAGTCATTGGTTTGGTGTTCACTAAGTAAGGAATCATTCGTCGTTTTGAGACCGTTACCCAAACTTTAAGCGGTTTCTCTCCGTCCTCAAGTCGTCCTGAAAATGTCACAATAAAACACACACATGAGGACTGTAGATAAAGACTGCTACAGACGAAATATAGAGCCAAGTTTTTATTTTCTATCAGCTTAAATATCAATGGACTGATCTCTGGGGCGGCTGTGGCTCAGTGGTAGAGTGGATTGTCTCACAACCTGAAGGTCAGGGTTCGATCCCCAGCTCCTGGAGCCACATGTCTGTTGTTGCTCCCGCTGCTTGGGGATTATGAAGGTGTGACCTGCGGGTTAAAGAGCTCTGAGGAGTCAGACGACTAGAAAATAAATAAACTAGCTCAGGTCCATTAAGCATCCTCAGTTTGGTATTTTTTCCTTTATTGAGTCGAGATGAACTGTAAGTGCTGTTACATAAAACTTTAAGTTCATGAGTCATAAATGATTTCATATTGTCATAATTTCATGTATTCGATAAATAAATCAATAATAATTCAGGTATGTTAAGTTAAAAGGTTAAAAACACTGTTAAAATCTTTATGTTTCTATGTGGAACTAAAGTTCCTTGTTTTTTGGTTCCGCTACAACGGAATTAAGGGATGGGCATGTATGGTGAGCACACGTTACTTCCCGCGAATTTATGTAAACATGCATGAAGACTGTTACCACTGATATCTGAAGTTTAAGCAGACTGTGAAAGACCCTTTACAAGGACTTTAAAGGAGTCAAGAACCTCTTTTCATGACAAGCGGTGCAACGAGTTCTCATGCCGTGGTTGGCGTGGTCGGCGTGGAAGATGCTTCACAAGATTGCTCCAGCAAAAAACGCCCGTTTCAAAGAACCACTCCGTGTCTGTTGTTGTGAAGAGAGCTACATGAACTTTATTGTCGCACAAAGTGAGAAAGTTGTCTTGGGCTCTTCACCTTTGCCACAACCATAAAAAAGACAACAATCATCATTCACATCAAACATAAAGCCATAAACAGTATTTAGAACAAAATAAGTCTATAAATGACATCAGGATCGATTTAAACGTTTTATAGAAACACGGAGCAATGGATTTTTAAACCTGTTCAGTCTACAACGGGGAACTCTGACCCTCTTACCTCATCCTCTCGTTCAGTCCAGGGGAGGTGAGGTAGATCACACCTGCAGTCCATCTGGCACTGATTACAGAGCTCCTCTCTGGACAAAAAGGACAGGTTACAGGTGTATAGGGGGGCGGCAGTAGCTCAGTCTGTAGGGACTTGGGTTGGGAACCGGAGCGGACCAAATATGGAAGTTGGTCTGGTAGCTGGAGAGGTGCCAGATCACCTCCTGAGCACTGCCGAGGTGCCCTTGAGCAAGGCACCAAACCCCCTCCCCACCATTAGCTCAGGAGCGCCCACTGTGTGCAGCTCCGTCACTCTGGCTTCTCTCCATTAGTGCATGTCCATATGATCCTGTTTCTGCATGTGTGTGTTCATGACTTACAGAGTGTAAAAACTGAAATTTCCCCTTGCAGGGATTAATAAAAGTAAATCTTAATCTTAATTTAACGTGTGTGAGATCAGCAGACTGGTTGATGTGGGTCACTTCTGAGAAGGCTGTGAGGAGAGACATTTTACCTGTGTGTGTGTGTGTGTGTGTGCTTGCGTGCTTGCGTGCTTGCGTGCTTGCGTGCTATCATGCTTGCGTGCTTGCGTGCTTGCGTGCTTGCGTGCTTGCGTGCTTGCGTGCTTGCGTGCTTGCGTGCTTTCATGCTTGCGTGCTTTCATGCTTGCGTGCGTAACATTTGTACAAGAGAAGAGCTTTGTTGGCTCTGTGCAAGCGTAAAATAACCATCAGTGATGTTTTGATGGAGATGTCTGTGAATCACTGCGGTATGTGTCATAGTGTGGGTTTGTTATGCAGCATGTGATCATACTGTCAACAGACGGTGTGTGTGTGTGTGTGTGTGTGTGTGTGTGTGTGTGTGTGAGGTCACACGTCTGTGTGTCACTGAACAGCGTAAACTACCTGCACATGATGTTATCATCTCTGTTATGACCCAGTCGTCGGAAAGTTACCAGTCTCTCAGCATATCCAGCATAATCTACTGGAAGTTTGGTTCCAGCTCCAACGGTTCCACTTTAAAGTGACATTTAATGACCCCCAGCTTAAATGTCACTTCCTGTTTTCTCTGGCTCAAACAGCAGAAGTCAGTGGACTTCCTTGTAGAGTTATTATTATGGAAGAAGATCAATTAATGGTGCAGAAAAATATACCATGACTGAGCAGAGAGGCATAGCATCATTTAAACATCTGCACAAATACGGTAGTTTAAAGAATTTCCCGGATATCAAACAGCCAACATGCTAATAAACGTAGACTTGCAGCGTACTCAAGCATCTCTGAAAAAGATCTATGGATGAGTTTGGAAACAATAACCCCAACCTGGGCTGGTCTAGTTGAGCACATCTTGTCAACAATTCATCCTATGCAATTTAGCTCTAAGGCCAAATGGAGGAGCGATTGGCTAGTTTCGCAATGACGCTGCGATGCCCAGTTAGAAACACTGAACAACAAGGTGAGAGAACATTTGCAGAAGATGGCATCAAGCAGCATACCATCTGGGGTATCACTCCTCTGCCTCCGGGCTAAGATGGAGTGAAGCTTCTGTTGTTATCAGTATGATATCTGATTCGTCCCATGTATGGGGACCAAGTATTCAATGGACTTGGGAGACAAACTAAGCGTGGCACAAAAAGTAAGGAAATGTGTGTTTGGTAGATTATTTCTTTGTTGTAACAATGCTTCTTGGCAATAAATCTTATACTGTTGGAAAGCTGGTTTATTTCCCTTTTAAATGGTGCCACATTTGTAAGGAACATGCATTTGTGGGATAAGCAGCATAGCTGAGTATGTGGGTTGCGCCCATGAAAAACTTGCCAAATCTTCTCTACCAATGCCAAACAGCTTATTCTGCTGTTGAAACACACACTGATTATTCCTTGAGATAGCCACTAGGGGTACCTTGAAACAGATGCCCAACAGAGACAGTTAAACACAACATACTGTATAAGACCCAGGATTGTGACCATGACTAAGGTGAGTATTTGGCGTTGTTGACCTTCCTAGAATCGTGTATAACCTGCGGTCAGACTACAGACTGTTGTGTGTGGGTACTTTGTTTGGGTAAGAAGTGAACTTCCTCCTTCGTCTCAAACAGATAGGACTCCTGTCACCAGCCTGGTGACAGAAGTTGCAGTTTTCTAAAGTGAGCCCAGATGTCCTTCTCCTCGGGGACCAGAAGTAATCATCTGTGAGTGTTCACACAGGATGGCTCTGCTACATCTGAGCCTCTATCTGTGTTCAGCAACACTGAGAATAGACGCCGCTGCAGCCGTGACTTTAACACTAGTCTTTAAATGAATGGGTCAGAGCGGAGAGTCATAATGACTGCAGAGAAGTGTTGTAGGAGTCACTGGTGATGTGAGAGAGAAGCCACAGAGAAGTCGGGGAAAAAAGAAACCGCAGTATCAATGGTGTCAGTCCCAAAAATACCACAATGACCTTTGGTGCATTTCTTGGCAACCCATTTCAAACTTTCTCCTGAAAACTAAACACAGAAGTAAGACTGTGTTTATGTTGGCCTTTTTGCCTCTCTAGATAGAACATCCAAAGAGAGACAGGAAATGTAGGGAGGAGAGAGAGAGGGAGGATGACAGGCAGCAAAGAGCCGAGGTCGGATTTGAACCCACAGCCACTGTGACGAGGACTACAGCCTCTGGACACGGGGCGCACAACATAACCTCTACTAAAGTCCAGATTCTAATCATTGTAGAGAGCTGTCTCCCCCGCCCCCTCCTCTCTAGAGTCGATAATCACACAGCTCTGCATCGGTCTGTAAACCTTTCTGCGTTCTAACTTCTCTCCTTTTTTCAAAAGCATCTCCAATATTGATCCTAGTTTGAGCACGTTTCTGCTCGTGGAGCTTATTAGAAACATGCAGAGGCTTTTTAGGTCGGGTACAATCACTTCTATCTGAACCAGTTCCATCGCTGCAACACCTGTTGGTTTGACCTGATAACTGGTCTCATATCTGGCAAACCGAGGGGCATCCAAAACGTAAAAATCTTTACAGAAGTGGTGGGATATTGGTAAAATACAAATTCAGCAGTTTTGTAATCAGTACAATTTTAATGTCACAAGAGAGGTCACACAATCTATAAAAAATCTAGAGACTGATATTGTGGAACTCCAGACTTTAAGTGGATCCACAGGAGATGGAGGCCACATTAAGGCACTCAAGTCCAAAAAAGCTGCTTTGGCAGATCTGCTGGGGATAAGAGCACAGGGGGCATTAGTCCGATCACGTTTTCAAAATATCTCTGAAATGGATGCTCCATCCAAGTTTTTCTTCAATCTAGAAAAGAAAAATGGTCAGAATCGACTCATACACTGTATCAGATCTGCTGATGGAAGAGATCTCACTGACTGTGAGCTGTGGACTTCTTGAGTACAGAGAGAACGTGCTGATGTCAGAGCAGTTTTTGTCTGACTTACCAAAGATATCAGAAGGGGATAATGCAGAACTGTCACGCCCACTCACACTGCAAGAGCTGCAGGAGGCGCTGATGAATATGGAAAACGGCAAAGCTCCAGGAATGGATAGTCTCCCTGTAGACTTTTACAAATCTTTTTTGTTTACTTTGGGAGTCGATTTGTTAGCGGTCATAAATGACAGTGTGTCTGGAGGGAAACTACCTCTGAGCTGTCGAAGAGCAGTCCTCACTCTCCTGCCTAAAAAAGGTGGCCTTTGTGAAATAAAGAACTGGAGACCAGTAAGTCTGCTTTGTGCAGATTATAAAATCTTTTCCAAAGTGTTGGCCAATAGATTAGGAAAAGTGATGGAGCAAGTAATACATGTTGATCAGTCATACTGCATCCCTGGCAGATCAATTAGGGACAATATATCCCTCATTAGAGATTATTTGGAAGTCTCTAGCTCGTTAGATGTAAAGTCTGGTCTGATTTTTCTTGACCAAGAGAAGGCATTTGATCGGGTGGAGCATAAGTATCTGTGGAACACCTTTGAGGCTTTTGGTTTCTCCCCCAGTTTCATTGCCTTGATGAAAACTCTGTATTGTGACATTGAAAGTGTATTGAAGGTTAATGGTGGTTTAAGCGCTGCTTTTAATATCAATAGAGGGATTCAGCAGGGCTGTGCAATATCTGGCATGCTTTATTCTATAGTCATTGAACCCATGTTGTGTCAGATAAGAAAACAGTTAACAGGGTTTAAATTAAAGGAGAATATTATACCCATGCATCTGTCAGCATATGCAGATGACATCATGGTTGCTGTAACAGATAATAGTGATGTCAAAAAGCTTATTCACATCACAGAGCGCTTTGGGGAAATTTCCTCCTCAATGGTAAACTGGGGTAAAAGTACAGCCTTGTTAGTAGGAAAATGGCGAGGGAATGAACCAAGGTTACCTGATGGTTTTAGATGGGTGACGCATGGCATCAAGTATCTAGGTGTTTTTTTAGGATGTCAGTCTGAGGTTCAGAAAAACTGGGAGGGTGTAATTGAGAAAATGGAGGGCAAACTAAAGAAATGGCAGTGGCTTTTACCACAAATGTCCTATAGGGGGCGCACACTTATTATTAACAATCTAGTGGCCTCCACCCTGTGGCACCGCCTGTCAGTGTTAGAACCTCCAGCAAACCTGGTAATGTAACTCCAGAGTATCATTGTAAACTTCTTTTGGGATAGATTACACTGGGTACCACAGAGTGTTTTATTTTTGCCTAAAGAGGAAGGAGGACAGGGATTGGTTCATCTGGCAAGTAGGAAGGCAGCTTTTAGACTGCAGGTCCTACAAAGCTTTCTTTATGGACCTCTAAATTTACCCTGGAGACACGTGGCTGAGTTTATCTTTGGTCTTGTTGGTAATTTAGGATTTGGGAAAAACATGTTTCTTATGAACTGTGCAGACTTGAATCTGAGTTGTTTGCCATCATTTTATGAGTGTCATTAAAATGTGGGGGCTGTTGGAAACTGGCCGGCTGGGCTCAAACACATCCTTGCATTGGCTGTTGAAGGAACCTATACTGAAGGGCTCTCGGTTGGGCACTTCACTGGAAGAGGTGCTGATGACATCTGGAACTCTGACAAATAAAGGAATAACTACAGTCCAACATCTGTTAGAACTGGCTGGAGCTAATTTGGATAATGCTGTAACCGTGGCGAGGAGACTGGAGGTCAGATCGATTCAAGTGGTTGGGCTGATGCTGGAGAAATTCAGAAAGGCACTGTCAAAAGAGGACAGAGTTCTCCTACAGAAATGGTTTAACGGACAACTAAAACCTGAGGATTGTGACTGTTTCCCTAGGATGTGTGTCAGGTCAAAGTATGAAGGACTTGGCCCTCTGCTCTGGAGAGCAGTACGGTTTGGATGCCTTTGGACTCTGTGAATGGGAAAACTCTTTATCAGGGATGTGTCAGGGGGTTAAATAAAGAGAAACTTAAAGATAGAGCAGACACACCATGGAGAAAGTATTTCAAAGTAAAATCTGAGGTCAAACCTACATGGAGCATGCTTTACAAACCACCGTTAACAAAAAGTACTGATGATTTACAATGACGTATTTTACATGGAATTGTGGCTGTTAATGCTTTTGTTTCTGTGTTGAATCCTGCTGTCTCAGATAATTGCCCCTTTTGCGCTGAACGAGAGACAATTTTTCATTGTTTTTTACAGTGTTCTAGATTGAGGTCTCTTTTTGGGATACTGAATACTCTCATAATGTCTTATGGAGACCATTTTACTGACCTCATGTTCATTTTTGGTCAGAATTTCCTTTTCGGTCAAGCAAAGTTGTCAGTTTATCTCAGTAGAAAAGAAAAAATGGAAAGAGGACAGAGATGTGATTGTGTAGTGGTGTTTCGGAATCTTGTTAAATCTCGAATATTGTTGGAACACAAGTATTATTTTAAAATGGAAGAGCTGGATGTTTTTGAAAAAATGTGGGACGATGATGGTGTACTTTTTTCTTTGAAAGACTCTGAAATCATATTTGCAGATGTTTTAATATAAATCAATATTTTTGTAACATTTTGTAGTCTGTGACAGTATCCCAAAAATGGGAATGTAAATACATTTTTATCTGAATAAATTAAGTTCTCTCTCTCTCTTTTTTTATTTTGCAGTAAAGAGGGCGACGAGGGAAACTCTCTCTCAGAGTGACTTCAGTCAGTGTCACCCAGCGCCGTCTGAATACCCAGACATGATGGTTTGATTTACCACGATGAGTGATCTCTGTGTTTAGACAGCTGTGAACAGAACACGTGGCTAAACTCAGTCCAACTTTGAGCTGGCGTTTAAAAGAGCTGTTGTAAAGTGCTGACTCAGGTCTCTGTGTCACACAGCAACACTTCCAGGAGTCACTTGGCTGTGAAATGCTGGAAACCTTTTCTTGGTGAACCTCAAACTCCCTCAGTCTGATTCCTGTCAACGAGAACATCTGGAACCCAAAGAGAAACTCGTTGACCTCTCTTACACTCCAATAGTTTCAGTTCAAGAAAAAACACGGCCCAGAGGTCAAAGGTCAGGGACTGAATTAGCTGAGGCGACACTTGGCAGTTGTGTTTGTTAGTTTATTTGGACAATCATAGAGCATAATGGGTGTTTCCCGACCAAACTCTCTCCCAGCCCTGATGCTGGGAGAGAGTACTCTGAAGCAGGAGCTGCAAAGTTTCCTCTAAAAGAGGTTCTAGGAACTAAAACAGTTCATAGTCCCTGCGGTCTGGAAACACCTAATAAAT